GCTCATCCAAATGTAAGGATTGCGTTCAAAGCATGGCAGGACTGGCTATCAAAAGATCAAACTTTTGCAGGAGTCTAAGTTCTTGCATGCAGGGGCTTGGAAAACTCACTCTTCTGTTCTCCAGACACTTTCCTGTGATCTGATAGCTGGTGTTCCCTGCTCTGGGACCCTATACTTACACCCCCAGCCAGGCCTTGCTTTTCTGGAGATACAGGTGCTATTTATGGTTCAAAAGACAGACAGAGAGCCAGCAGACTGTAGGGTCTGGATGCTAACACAACACAAAGGTACAAAGAACTCCCCTGACTATCCACAGACCCCTCACTGGGACTGACCTTGAGTAGATGGAGATTTAGAAAGTGATGTTTAGCTGTGGCATGAGTTAGCATATATTCTCCCTTTTGCATAGGTTTATTGTTCTCTTAATCTACCTCATCAAGTTTCCTGGGTTGGCTTTGCATGCACTGTGAAAACAAGACTGACCCTGAATTGCTAGACATAGGACAATCCTTCTGCCTTAGATTCCTGAGTGCTGGGATTATAGACTTGCACTGCCACACCCAGCCTGTCTACTCAATTCAATGATGGAACAGTTTGATAAACACTTTAATCACCATAATGCCTATGAAATGCTGGGACTCTTGAGTTGAGTCAGACTTCTTCAAATGGTTCTCACTCCAGCACTTTGGTTGGAAATCAAAAGCCGAGGGAAGTTTTGCTTTCAGAAAGCCTTTCTATTTTGGCTTGTCATATTTTGCTAGAACAGTGACTACTGGCATCTAGTCAGGGGTCAGGGATGATGGCCAACAGTCCTCCACAACAAACCATCACTCCCCAAATGCCAAGGTACTGAGGTTCAAATACCTAGATTACTAGAGGAGGCACATTTGAACAAAAGATAAAATATGGAAGACATGTGACTGCAGGCTGTCAAGGCAAGTATGCAGAGAGCCTGGGGCAGTGTGTGTATATGTGTGTGTGTGAGAGTGTGTGTGTGCGCTCATGTGTGTACTGTGTGTAGCAAGCATGGTGAAGGCTTCAAGGGAAAGGGATTCCTAACCATGGTTTGTTCTTATCTCTCTGCATGCAAGCACCAAACAGTGACTTGAATTAGTCAACGGTACAACATTTTGTACAGTTCTCTGGGTAATTACTCAAAGATTTCTCATGACTTTTCATCTTCCTTTAAAATGCTTTTTTTTTTTCTCCAGCAGGTCTGGGAGAAGGAAGGACTCACTCAGTTTTGTTCTTTTCTTTCTGGCCAGGCCCCTCTAGTGGGACATGTAGTTCTTGTATGTTTCCTTCTTTTTTTATGTCAAGGTTCAGCTTCCTACCCTTGAGCCACAAAGCCTTTCTCTGGAGAACTCGGTCCCTTAGGATTCTTAGAGCCTTATTCCCTCTTTCTCCTCCCACACTTGTCTCCTGTGAGTTTCTCCCTTGATCAGCTTCTCAGAACAGAGCCACCGTCCCTATGTGTGCCAACCATCACTGCACTGAGTGCTGTACTAGCGCTGGCCCCCCTGGATGGGGGCCGAGAGAGAGAATCAGGAAAGTGCCGGATGCTCATCTTCCAGGTGTGTTGAACCAGTGGGTTCTCAGGTGTTCTCTTTGCAGAGTCTGGATTGTGCCATAACTGAGCATCTAGAAGCTTAATCTCTGTTCAGTAGGCTCAACATGCAAAAAATAAATTGCTATGATTATTATTACCATTTACTTACTTACAGGTTTTCAGAAGCTGTTTCCATATCAAGCAGATCAACCTTCCTGTTGTCATAGAGACAAAGATCTTTATATAACTACGTGCAAGGTGATTTCTCCCCTCCCCTAACCAGTTGCATAGAGCTAATACGAAAAAAGGAAAGGGAAAATTTTAAATTATTTTTTTTTCATTTACCACCCCCCATTAAGACAAATGAAAATGTAGGAGGCTGTTTCTTGTGTCATAGTTTAGGTTTTAAACACTTATGTCTTTAATGAGAAATGGAAGGGAGGGAAAAATATGAATAATTTGAACAATGTCATTTTGAAAAATTGCCAGCAGCGGGTTGTCAGTGATAAGCAATTATCACTCATGCACTTTTTGTGCTTTTTAAACAAAATAGTGAACTTCAGACAAAGGGCTTGGACGGCTGAGTTTTCAGCATGACTGAAATGACTGAAGCAGAATTGTATCTACTGAGGGAGACTGATGAATTCTGAGGCGCTTTGCAGTACTCCCTTTTTTGAACCTCCACAGCCTGGGTGCCCCTCCCTTCTGCAAAGCCTAACCCTGCATACTTGTTCATGCCAGACCACAGCTCCCTTTTGTCAGCCTGACTTCAAAACCTCAGCTCTCTTCTATTTATTAACTTCCAATAATTTATTATCCAGAGCACTTTCTGTATTGTGATTTTTTTTCCTTTATTCACTTCTCATCACAAATGATAAATTTATGAGGGGTGATAGCCTGTGGCCCTCCACTTTTATTTTCTATCCTTTCTTTCAATATCGCCTTACACCTTTATCACTCGCTTTCTTTCCAGGACACAGACTGCCCATTTCCTAAGACTACATCTTTCCTTGAGGTTTTAGACTGAGGCTTCTCTATCTACTCTACTTGAGAGTTCACACTAACAAATATGTCCTCCTTCATCTCTAGTGTCCTCTGCCTGTCATTCTCTATGAGGAAAAACAAAAGAAAACCTTCCATTGTCCTGATTGGTTCTCATCTATCTCTGAGTTTGGGCTTTTTACTTTTATGCATTCTTCTTCTTCCAATAAATAGGCATATGCATGGAGGAGGTGATAGAGAAGGGGCACATATAGCAGGAGGAAGTTTATGCCATTATCAAGAGCAACACTTTGGTTCTTAACTTCAGTGTTCTATGGTGATTTCACAGAGTCTCTGATTCAGTATGATGGGCAGAGCCTGGGATCCCAGTCTAGCCTGGAGAAGCTAGTGTTGCTGGCCCACGTTCACACTTGGAGAAACATTGTTCGGAACTGGCAGCCTTCCTGTCTTTCCACGTGCCTCGGTATTTTAACCAGGAGGTTGGGTTCTCAGTGCTGTTCCTACAGTGGCTCTACCTCCACAGAGCTCACAGCTGAAGAACAAGGTCACCTCTCAGTCATCTGGTGGTCAGGAAGTGTGACCTTGCCATGCTTGGTGAGGGGCTCTTGAGATGTCTAGGAGAGGATGCTCACAGTGGTGGATGCTAAGGTAGGCCCTGTGGAGAATGCTGAGGATGCTCTAGGATCCCTTGTGGATAGAAAAGGGCTTCCAAGCCCTCAGAGCCAACTCCTAAGAATCAGAATTGCTCACTGTAATTTTGGTGTTCCTGCCTCCCACCTGGCCAGGATGAGCACTGCATCTACTTGAAGGCTTGTTAAACCATGCTGTGGGACAGTCCAATAGTGTGTTGCATTTTCATTTCTGCTTTCCTCAGGGAAGGGGCCTGTCAGGGTCCTCACCCGAGGCAACACGTGAGCAGCTCAACATCAAAGTGGCTAGGATGTGGCTCATCTATTCCTTCTCCATCTTCCTCTGCAGGGGCAGTTACCACCCAGTACCAATGCTGAATAAGTTGGGGGCAGTTTTTTAATTAAAGGAAAAATAATTTTCTTAGAAAGACAAGCAACTGCAGATAGGTAATTAATAAAGTTTTTCTTTGCAGCATGATAGCTGAGGGACACGGAGCAAGGGATTCCCACCTACTTAGATCTCAAGAGTCTTCTAAAGGGTGAGCTCCATGCGTGAAAGAAGGGTTGATAGTCACACAGTCACTCATAGGCGCAGTGCGGGAGGCTTGCCACAGAAGGACAAGCCAGAACTTGGGAGATGGTTCCACGCATTTGTTGATTGATTGAAACAAATTCTATCAGCGTGGCCATCACCTTCAGGGATTAGAGCTGACAAGATAATTAATGGAAGCTAATTAACAGAAACCCCTCAACCCTTAACTGTCTCTCTCAACCACAGTATTCCTAGAAGGCCATTAAGTTGTCCACAGGGGGCAGACCAAGTGCTCAGGGGGACTGTCATTGGTTCGTGCAAAGCCCAGGGAAGACCTCCGCCAACCTGGTGCGTGTGGGCTGCCTCCTGCTTCCTTTGGTGGTTTTACTGAAATTTAAGTTGTATAACGTAAAATTCAACCATTTCAAGTGTACAGGGCCATGGTTTTAGAGTGCTTACGTGAAACCATTACCACAATCCAGTTTTAGAAAAAACTCATCACCCCAGCCTTCCCCATGTTACCAGACACCATCGTTGCCCACTCATCCTCAGCCCTGGGGGATGGACTTTTCTTCCTGCCTTCCATCCATCTGGCCATTTCCATGTAAACAGGATCATGCAACATGAGGAACGCTTTTCCAAACCGGAGGGCATTTGGTATCCTGGCACTAGTAGCCCCCTCCCGTCTTCATCCCATAACTTCAGGAAGCAGTCGCCTTTCTCTGCTTACTGATGCTGCAGCGCCTTTTCCAAGTGCGAGTGGCACAGCAGAAGCCAGTGTGCTTCTGTCACTGCTTGGCTAGGCACAATGTGCAAGCACACGGCTGCTGGCACTGAAGAGCTCACCTGGTGGCCGGAAGCCAGACTGCTGCCTTCCCTGCCGACAAATCAGGTCACCCCTGGCCCTAGCGAAGAGCCCCGATACTACAGGCAAGGAGCCCACAGCAGCCTTCCTAGACCCCGCTGGCCAAGGCTCAGACCCATTCAGACTGCTCAGGCAGAGAATGCTGGTGAAGGAGTTCCCGTTCCACCAGAACTTCAGGCAGCGGCAGAGAGAGGCCTCCTGTGGTTTTGGGGCAGTTTTAAGTCACCTGCCTCAGTCTCCCCCATGGGGAAAGTGCAGGTCAGGACTGTGAAGGAGGAGTAAAGACAATCTCAAGCTCTGGGTCTTCATCACTGGGAAGCGTGAGGAGTTTGCTAGGGGGAAAAGTTATGTCCTGCTGTCCAGCAAAGGAGCCCAACATTGAGTAGCAAAAGGCAGGGACGGGGGGGGGGGCGGTGTACTCACAGTCGGGCAAGGCCAGCTAGAGGGCCAGGGCAGCGCAGGGCCCCGTCAGGCGTGCAGTCACAGGGCTCGGGGCAGCGCGACCCTGACAGCTGTCCGGACTGCAGCGGTGATGGCTTCAGCACCAGCACAGTCAGCGCCAGCAGCAGTCTCAGTGCTGTGGTCCTCCGCCCCATGGCCTGCCAGCCTGAGTGTGAGCTCGCGTGGCCGGGCCAGGATGCTGAAACGCCCGGGGGCCGCCCGCCCCCTAGCCCGCCCCTCCCCTTCCCACCCTGCGTCCCCGCCTGCTCCAGCCCTCCCCTCTCACCGCGCGCCCCTGGCCAGTCCCTGCTCTCCTTGACCTAGGACAGTGGCCAGCTACCCCACTGCTGTTTCCCTATGACTGGACCGGTCCTCTACCCTAAGCCTGCAGATGAACTGAGGGTTAGAACGCAGGCTGATGTGTGGCAAGCGCTTCCAGTGAGGAGCAGGAGTTGGGAACTCTACCCTGCCTTGGGCCTCAAGGAGACCTGTCTTGGTTCTATGAAAGGTCGCTCTACATATCAGAAGAGCGAAGGTGCCAGACCTGCTGTGTCTCAGCCCCAGGCTGTGCTCCTCCACACTTTTAAGTCCAAGTAATCTCTCCCCTCTCCGCTTCCACAATGATCTCTCTCTGCTTTTCTTGGTTCTCCTCAGTTTTTGGGTCTGTCTCTTATCTCCCCAATGTACTGCGAGGCCCTTGAGAGCAAAATCCAGTTTGGGTTTACTTTCTATTCTTTCTTTAGTTAAGAAAGGTTTGTGATGTGAATGGGTGAAATGACTATATTATGTAAGCATCTGACCACAACGGGTGTGATAGATGTCTTGCCTCACATCATATCCAAGACTCGCAGGGCACTTAAAGCAGGAACTCCTGTCTATCACCCAACTGTCTCATACCAATGTAAAACCCTGCTATACAATCTGTGATTCTAAACCCCGTGGAAAGAAGACCCGATCTTTTGGCAACCCTGAAAATGAATCTTTTTTTCTTTTTTTTCCCCTCTCCTGTGATATTAGGCTCTATTTCTTTCAAGGATTGATTTTGGACTCCAGAAACATTAGAGTTTTTCTGAATGGGGTAGACTTTGAGAGCTGAGAAGGCATCTAAAGCTTTCAAGTTAGGACACAGAGCTCTCTTTTTGAAGTCCCTCACAGGGACAGCTTCCTCAGTCACCCAACCACGGATGGTAGATGATTACTGTTTTTATTGCTCTTGTTTTTGAATTACCCAGCTTTGCCCACACTGTACTGGATGTGATCTTCTCTGACTTAGATTTTTATGTCTTTGTGCACGCTTCCCAAGGCTTAAAGGATCCCTCCCTCCTTTTCTTGTAGGTAAACTCATGGTTGTATTCCAAGGCAGACTGCTGCCCCTTTCATGTGAGCCTTCTAAGACCCAGCATAGCTTGTTATCACCAATTCTAAAGCTTGTACCTTAAAACTACAATGAAGGATTTGATTTTGTTTTCCCTTGTCAATTGATCTCAGTACTGAGAGGCAAGTCGTAGCTCTTGGTCTGCAGTTGGTGCTCCACAGAGCTCTGCTGAATGCTAAAATGAATAGTGACACCCAGACTCTGGGCTGTAGTAGACACCAGAGAAGAGCTTCTCAGAATTATTTGGTTTATTCTCAGCCACACTAGATCTAGGTCCATAAGTGCTGAGTAATTACACATCTGTACTTTGGGATTGTTCTGCATCTCCAGTTTTAGTTTTGTCAGATTTGGTAGTGCTGGTGAAGTAGCACTGGGCTTTCAAAACATCTCTACCATGTCACCTTGATGGCAGGAGAGAAAAAGTGAGGAACTTAAAGTGACTGAATGATGTTTGTTTTAAGACTCATGTTTTATGTGTGGCCTTAATTTTCATACCATACCATACCATACCATACCATACCATACCATACCATACCATACCATACCATACCATACCTACCTATCTATCATCTATCTATCTATCTATCTATCTATCTATCTATCTATCTATCTATCTATCTCTTGTACATATCTAGGCATGTGTGTGTGTGTAAGTGTTCCCAGAGCACGTATCAACTCCCTGCTCCCCCATGTATGTTGTTTGCAATCACCACTGAATCTTTGAGAACAGTGGGTATTTCAGGAACTGTGTACTCCAGTAGCTGAAGTCCTAGGAAAGGGAAACAATCGCGAATTCTTTTGTTCTGTTGTCAGCATTGTGACTTGGTCTTCGGTCTCTTCCTCTGTAGGAGAAAGGGTTGGTATTCATATTCCATAAAGGTCTTTTTCTAACATGCATGAAGTTTGCTGGGGGCTCCCATGGTGCTGCTGTATATACAACCGTGTAGTTTATCTGGGGAAGTAAACCCTGTTTATAAAAAGATGATGTTATTTACATGGAAGAGAGTTTCACAAAATTAGTCATTGTCTATGATTAATTTTAGTTAGATCTTATTACAGTCAATTCTTGCTATGAATCCACGATAATCCAATCCCATTGAATTGTTTGTTCCAATCACAAACACTTGCTACAGTGAAATTGACCTTTCCTCTTTATTAATATGTGACCTCCTTCAAGTGGCTAATCTTAGTGCTGAGGGGCTCTGCCTTTCATAACTAGGCGTGTAGATACTTTTGCCATAAAACTTCAAAATAGCATGACCAATAGGATGGCTAGTTAATTTTACTGACAAAAATAATGTGGAAGAAAAAAAAAATCACAGCAAAACTCCCCAAAATTTCTGAGCAGAAATTTCTCATATTTTAGGTTGCAGAACTCTCATTTACAAAGATTAAAAACCAAAGATTCCCAAGACTTCCCCCCAAGAGATTCCAACTCAGTAGACTCCAAACAAGGTCTAGAAGCCTGCATTTTCACACAAGCCTCACACAACTTGATGCATACATTGGGAGTTCCCAGAACATAATTTGAGAAACACTAAAACAAAAGATCCAGAATCGAATTTGCCAAGGGCAGCTCAAGGATCCTTATTAACAGCTGGCTACAATTGCTGTTGTCTGTCTGTAATTCAGTACCTGGGAAGCTCAGGCAGGAGGATTGCCGAGAGTTTCAAGTCAGCCTGGTATACAATAAAACAAAGCAAAACCAACCAAATAATTCTTGTTAAGAACTGTGAATGAAGCCTAAGGACTTGGAATTCGTTGTCAAAGAAAACCAGTAAGTATAATGAACACAGTCAGACAGCAATGTATGTATGTGTGTTCAAATGTTTAAAATTATGTACTATGTTGCATTGATGGGGTTGCTTCTTATCACGGAATCTTTATTTCTTTTTATATATACCTCAAGCAAAACAATAGCATTTGTTGATAGACTTTGGGGCTAGAGGCAGTTGCAAAGTGACAGTAATTTAAAGAAACAGAACCGAGCACAGGCAAGATGTTCTGATTCTTGAGTACATACTCTGTTAACACAGAGACTGGTGTTTTTTCCAAACAGTAACTTTTCTCTTCCCTCAGAAGAAAAAGAAAGTATAGTGCAGAGGGGGAGAAAGGGTAAGCATGAGGAGGAAACCGCAGTTTCATCCCCTGAGCAGCTCACCTTGCACCTGGAGCAAAAGCCAACCCAACCAGGCAGTGTGGAAAGAGGACCCCTAAAGATGGAAATTTCACCTGATGTCACTCTGTGACACCAGATGTGACCAGTTGTGCCACATGCACAGCCAGTCTGAGATCCTTGTAAGCAGGAGAGAAGCCTGTAGCTGCAGGCCACAGGTGCCTGGGCCCTGCTCCTTGGATGGGTTGAAGGCTAGGCTGTAAAGGCTGATCTGGGACATGAGGAGACTTCTCTGAAATTGATGGAGAGAAGGATGGAAATGGAGCCTTGCTTTTGGTCATGTGCAGGGATGTGGACGGGTTGGGTGCTGTTCCTGCCTTGCTTCATGTCTGCCATAGAAATGGTTAAATCCTGTGGAGAACAACAGCAAGAAGAAACAGATGGGGTGGGCAGACTCCATGAATCTGGTCATCCCACACCATCTTCATCCTTGGACTTCCCAGGTAATAAACTATGGCATTTACTGTTTTGCTTAAGGTAGCTGGAGTTGAATTCTTGTCACCTGTAACCCCAAATCCTCATCTTTCCTATGAGCCTTGCTGTGGGCTTTGTTTAAAATCTACTTAGCCTGCCTTCCACAAGATGGAAGGGAAATAGCATTTCCCAGTTCTTCATCCCCACTGAACTTTCCCACATTGTGTTAGAAGTACTTCTCCTTGTGCCTCTGGGAAGTTGAGTGGGTGAGCACATGAATGGGTGAATGAATAACTGAACAAAAATGTAGTGCCAAGGACGATGTTATCCTGTGTTAGGAAAGCTATGTTTTTTAAAAACAACTCACCAAACATTCTTTTGATTTCAGATAAGGGTTTCTAGCAAAACTGCAACCTTGATTTAGAAGTTAGGTTTAAAGCCAAAATATTAGATAAACTCAATGAGAAAAGAAGAAAACTCTTAAATGTCGAAAAAATCCAACAAGGAAGGAGAATTTGATTGAAAAAAAATTATGTAGAATCAAAGCGTGGAGCCCAGGATACATTTTTCTTCTTGATAATTTATAGTATTTAGGGGGAAAAGGTATCAAAACTCAAGAAATTTGGGAAATTTTAGTTTAACAAGTTAAATAAGTTTCTTTACTGTGGGAATTTTTTTTTGAATAAAGGGATTTATTCAGATCTTCTTAACACCTTGATTTTACATCAAGGAACCATTATCCTGGTCTGGAAGATGGCTGCCTCAGTATGCATAGCATGCAGGTGGTGCTGAGAGGAAGTTCCTCTGGGCCCTTCCTTTTCCTTACTCTCTGTAAGGTCAGCATATTATTTTTTTTTTTATCATGTAATGTTTTAGCTTGCCCTTCCCAGGCTCATTTTTATATATTTGTGAGAACGAGAGCAATCAGAGCCAATGACATTTTCATGTGAATGACTTACCTTTTGAGGACCTGAGTCAATTCCAGGGAAAGGGAGCCATCTCCATTACAAGCTTCTTCTCATCACGGAGGCATCAATGCCCTACCAGGCATGCTCAGATGTATTCAGAACAAAAATCTAGAGGAAGTAAAAAAAATAACGCTGTTGCTCCCTGCCACTGAGCAGGATGTGGCAGCCCTTTTCTCTCACCCTCTTTTTCTCATCTTCTTAGCAGCTGCTTGCTTTATGCCA